AGCATTCGGTCTTCTCCAACCCTAAAACTGTGAGCAGAAAAAAGGCCCAGACCTTTGCTCTACTTCATTGAGTCTCAAAAATATAAATTATATCTGGTGGGGAGAGGGTGAGTGCACACTGAGGTTCTACACCGAGACCACAAAGGGGTCCTTGAGAAGGATCCCATGGAGAGGGAGGGGCTCCAAACCAGACAGCGTACAGTCAGAAGGACGTGGAGGGCTGACAGCCTCATTCCACCTTGTGCTGTGACATGCCTGGGGAACTACGAGGTGTGAGTGAATTTAAAAAGCTGCACAACAGGGACCAGCAGCTAGCGTAATGGCTATGTCTCTGGCCTCCCACGTAGTTGACCGCAGTTCGAGTCCTGGACCCGGTGGCTTAAACTCACGCCGGGCACGTATGTGTGCATGCCCAAGATCCTGAGAGGAGAATGGAGAAGGGATTGCGGCGTGGCCATCCCCCCTGGGGGGTGATTTCCTGCTTTCTGTCTCTCTGTCTCTCTCTGTCTGTCTGGCGAGCGCATGTGCCCTATAGCAAAAACCTCTCCAAAAAAAAAAAGAGAAAAAGAAAAAAAGCTGCACAACAAAGACTGAAGCTCTCAGGGCCCAAGCGACTCTCCCATTCAGAATAAAGCACATGCACACAGGATCAGAGAGGGAGAGGGGGAGAGAGAGAGAGAGAGAGAGAGAGAGAGAGAGAGAGAGAGAAAGGGAAAGGACCCTTGATGCGCTCAGTCACTCTGCAGTCCCCTCTTCCAGTCCTCTAGCCCACCAGGATCCTGGGCGTCCGTGTGTTTTCAGGCTGATTGGGCTCGAGACTCAAACTGTCGTCAGCCTGTGGCTTCCAGCTCTGCAGTCCCGTGTGCTACTGACTGTGGCACAGAGGCTGGACCATGTTCTTGGTTCCACTAAAGAAATCTAGCTGTCTCCAAGTTATGTGCCTCCCCACATAAGTGCAGCCTCACTGTTTCCCGGGCTTCAGCACGTTGCTCTACTTTAATGACCAAATGGCCCTTGGGAGCTCTGAACAGCTGAAAGCTTAAAGCTCTTGCCACTTCCCGCCACCCTCGGTGGGTAAGGCCAGGGGGTCTGGACAGATGCATGGGATTGAGCCATGGGTTCCTCTTCTCCTATAGCTCCAGAATTCAGTTTCCATTCTAGAAGACTCATGGAATCTCTAGATTCTCTATAAGGGATTGCCTGGAGGCACTAGGTAACACACCCCAGAAGTGGAGGGACTGGAAAAATTCTGATCAATAAGAGGAGAGAAAAAAGAAAAGAGATTTCAGACACATTTCTTTCCTTCATCCCCTCCCCCAGGCCGTTCTAAGACACAGTGACTCCAGTCATGCTAGAAACGTCCCCACAGTACTGCAATGTAGCTACATTTGAGACTGCAGTCAGCTGGACAACATGCCAGCTAGTATTTGCTTTCTTTTTACCCTTCCTTTTTTCCATTTTGCCCCTACTCATACTTTCCTCTAAGTGCACCCTCCGGCTTTCTAAAGAACCCTGGCTAATATAGGACGTAAACAAGGTGGACTTGGTGGGAGTTTGCAATAAAGGCAAGAGTACACATGAACTCAAAGCATTCAGCATGGCTTAGTATCCATAATAGGTCAGGGGCAGAAGATCTGGGCTCTGGACTCATCACTAAGATGGGCTGATGGGCATGGGTAGAGGAAAAAGTGAAGAGTGGTAATGGAATTCAGCCTTCAGGAGGTACTATTCTTGTTCTGTAGCAGGTGGCAACTGGTATAGTTTGAATGTCTCCTCCAAAACTCATATTGAAATGTAATTGCCGTTGTCATGATATGAAGAAGTGGGAACCAGCAGTTGGCATAATGGCTATGTTGCTGGACTCCCATGTAGTCGACCATGGTTTGAGTCCCAGACCTGGTGACTTTCACTCACATCAGGTGAGGAGAATGGAGAAGGGATTGCAGTGTGGCCATACCCCCCTGGGGGGTGATTTCTCACTTTCTGTCCCCGTCTCTCTCTGTCTTTCTGGCCAGCGCATGCTATATAGCAAAAATAAAAAAATAAAGTCTTCAAAAAAAGAAAAAGTGACTTGTATATTTGGAACCAGCAGTTGGTGCAATATGAAGTGGGACTCTCACACTGTGGGGCTTATTTATGCAGAATAAGCTATTCAGTATTCAGACAGCATAGCCTTAATATGCTGTGTGCTGACACTTGACAGTTGAAAGAAAAATAACATGAGAGTAATAACAGATTAAAATTTACAAAATGAAGTCATTTTGGTGGAAAAAGAAGAGCGGGATCCTTAAGAGGTGAGTAGGTCACAAGGCCTCTACCCTCATGAAAGGATTATGGAGAGACTGGGGTAGCTATCACGGGAGAGGGCTTCTGAATAACCGGATAAGTTTGTCCCTTTTTTCTCTGTCTCATGCCCTCATCCACCACGGGCTGATACACCATGGGGGCCCTTGCCTGATGCAGTTCCGTGCTTTTGGACTTTCCGGCCTCCAGAACCGTGAGCCATTGTGTATAAATTACTGTCTGTGGCATTCTGTTATAGCAGCAGGAAACAGACCAAGACAAGCACGTCTAGGCCTTTTAGGGCTTTTTTCATGGACTTCAGAAACTGCAGAGAATGCAGAAATATTTTAGGTGAGGTTCTCATTTGAAGGATGAAATTATTCATAGTACCAAGCCTTAAAAGCAACATGATAGCAAGAAATAATCAGTCTGATAATGAAAATGAAGACAACTAAGTGTGGGAGAGTTCTGTGGTCACTGAGAAGGTAGGATATTTCTTACACATTTAATGTTATCTAATTCTCACTACAGTCCAGGGGAACAGACATTTTTCTCAACTCCATTTTATAGATCAGGAATGGGAAGCTTCAGGAATGGGAAGATTCAGGATTTGAACCATCTTGAGGCTCCTTTGATAAAAATCCCAGTTATGTTTTTCAAGAAAGCTAAAGAAGTGAACCTCTCTGGAAATTTGAAACAGATTTAGCTGGTTGGTGGCACTTCCTCAGGAAATGAATCAAGACAAAAAGAAAATGCTACAAAGGTTGAGGGGACTGGGACCAGCAGTTGGCATAATAGTTACGTCACTGGACTCCCACGTAGCCTACAGTGGTTCGAGTCCTGGACCCGGTGGCTTAAACTCACTCTGGGCACGTGTACGTGCATGCCCAAGATCCCTAGAGGAGAACGGAGAAGGGATTGCGGCATGGCCATCGCCCCTGGGGTGTGTGTGTGTGTGTGATTTCTTGCTTTCTCTCTCTCTGTCCGTCTCTGTTTTCTGGCAAGCGCATGTGCCCTATAGCAAAAACCTCTCCAAAAAAAAAAAAGGTTGAGGGGACTGAGACCCTTATAAAGTTGTGCCAGGTAAGGTATTCTGTGTTTGGATCAGAGACCTGTAATTTATGTAAATTCACATACATCTTGTTCAGATATGCATACATCGGGGAGTATGTGGAATGTGGCGGAACTAAATGTATTTGTATGTGTTCAACACACTGTATAATTGAGCCAATTATCCATGTGGGGATTATTCACTTTCAATTTGCAATCTGGCTTCTCCTTTCAGTTAGGATGTTTTTTGGCTGCTCTAGGAATGCCAACTAATTTAAATAATAATTTAAGTAAAACATAATTAGAAAGGAAAATTAAATTAAAATTTTTTGCCAGCTCTCGAAGATTCTGTGCTGAAAGGTAATTCAAACCCATGCACTGCATTTCCATTCCCTGCCTTTGCGGCCCCTGCAGTTTACTGCTCTCCATAGATTACTGCAGCCATTTCCCAGGTAGCCTTCCCGTTTATCCCCTTCCAATCCCATCATGGTTCTGCTGACAGTGACCTTAAAAGACAAAAACATCCCCAGCTCCCAGCACATTTCTTCGCTTGAAAACATCTGAAAAAATGACCACTAAATGGCTATCCATTTCTTTCTTTCTTTTTTTTTTTTTTTGGAGCAGTTTTTGCTATAGGGCGCATGTGCTCGCCAGAGACAGAGTGACAGAGTGAGAAATCACCCCTCGGAGGGATGGCTACGCCTCCATTCTCCTCTCGAGATCTTGGGCACGCACGCACATGCACACGGCCTGAATTTAAGCCACCGGGTCCGGGACTCGATCCACAGTCGACTACATGGGAATCCAGCGACATAGCCATTACGCTAACTGCTGGTCCCGGCTACCCATTTCTTGCAGGATGACGTGCACCTGCCGAAACCTGCCATTCAAGGTTTCTTCTGGACTTAACGGCTTACTGTTCCTGCAACTTTATTCACACAGTTCTGCTACTCCTCGGCCTTTGCCCCCTCTGCGGTTGCACTGAACAGCACGGCCTCGTCGCAAATGTCACCTGCCCTCGGAAGATCTCCCGCCCCTCCCTCGGAACTGCCCTCGTGACCCCACCACTGGAACCCCTTCACGCCCTCCACGTTCCCCTAAGGCTGACCACGCATCTGTGCGAACGTGTGGCGGCCCTGCTCTCCAGTGAGAGCCTCGAAGGGAGGCGGCGACACACCTGTCCCGAACCGGGGCAAACCCCGCGGGCGGGCGGCGCGGTGTTTGGGAGTCACGGAGCCCGGCCCGGAGCCCGGCCCAGAGCAGGCGCTCCGTGGTGCTGCCCGAGGGGCTCCGAGTCTCCGCACGGCCCGCGAGGTCCGCTCGGCAGCAGCAAAGCGGGCGGCGGCGGAGGGAGCCCGTCCTGGGCACGTGCGGCCGTGCCCGGGTTTCTGACGGCCCCTCTCTCTGTCTCTGTCTCTCTCTAGCGAGCGTGCATGCCCTGTGGCCAGGCCC